GCGAAACAAAAAACAAGACAAAAAGCAATTTAATGAACCTTGAATAAATGACATGTTGTAAACAAACCTCGAATATCTTGCGACGAAATTTCGAGACATATATTCGCATCACAAAGACTCATCAGTGAAGCTTAAGATCTTGCCTGTCACAAGGGATAAGATGTTTTTATCCTCTTTCAAGGGGCTTCGCTGGGAAGGTCAACCCTGACTCTGAATTGGCGTTTCTTTCTCCATCATTTGTGGAGGGGGGGGGGGGAGGAGTGGAAGGAGCATGAAGAGGAGGATGAGGTGAAGGCAGTGACTGGGGGAGAGGAGGATGAGGGGAAAGAGAGGTGGGAGGAAGAGGACCAGGAGAAGAGAGGAGGAGGAGGAGGAGAAAGCAAGCAGGAGTAGGGAGAGAGAGGGAGAAGGAAGAGGAGGAGGAGAAGGAAGAAGAGACGGAGGAAGAGGAGGAAGAGTGCAGGATAAGGAGGAGGAAGAGGAAGAGGAGGAGGAAGACGGAATGAGGAGGAGGAGGTAGAAGAGATGTGGATGAGGAGGATGAGGGCGATGAGAGTAGGAGGAGGAGGAAGAGGAGGAGGAGAAGTAAGAAGAGGGAGGTGGAGGATGAGGATGATGAGAGGAGGATGAGAAGGAAGAGGAGGAGAATAGGAGGAGAGGGGGATGAGGATGAGGAGGAAAACGAGGAGCAGGAAAAAGAGGAAGAGGAGAAGGAGAAGAAGTAGAAGAACCAATAAGAAAATCCAAATCATTGGTTCTATCTGCCCTGTTCTTATTACGTGTTGCACAAGTCGGGGGATAATAATCAGCTGGTCGGAAGGCCTCGGACTCAACACAGAGCATCTTACCAGCGACGAGAGCAAGTGGCCGTGGTTTCCCTGCGAGAGATTTCAACGCACTGTAGGTAAGGAAACGGTGGCATTCGATATCGTATTTCGAATTTAACTTTTCGTATCATTTGTTAATTATTTTACTATTTTGCCATCTCATGATTCCTTTCCTTTCCCCTTTAGTCGACGCCCTGCCTGTGCGTTCACTCTTCGTCCGGGTCGTTCGTTGTTTATCAAATTGCTTCGAAATGTTGACGTGCTATACGAGCCTAAAGGGAAGTCTGGTTGTTACAAAAGTCGAGGTGGCGTGATGGCCGGATCCAGGTGGTGCGCAGTGGTCGTGCTGAGGCGGGCGGGGTGCTCTGCCGCAGGTAAACGGGCAGGGTTTGGGGCCCGCGGGAAGTGGGCGGTGACAGCCAGCCCGTCAACAGAGCAGCGATTTGATACAAAGTCAATATCCGTCTGTATTTTCGTCTTTGCTTCGATTCGACTTTTCTGGCATGAGTTTCCGCTCACCATGCACGCGTGGCACTTGGAAAACACGGTAATTCCTTTCCATTGCCAGATTACCGAAGGAAGTTGTCGCAGATGGCAGAGTCTCGGCGCAACCTTGGTGCATCCCACTCACCTGCCGCCCGTGCCAGCCCGCCGCAGAGGGTTACGCCCTCCCTTCCTGCCATTATGCCCGCCAATTATTCCTAATAATCAAATTATTTCTATTCCAGGGCAGAAAAGGAGATTCAAGCCCAGTAATGAAAAATAGACTGTAAACTTTGTTCTTACCTTGCCTATTAGGCAAAGATTTACTTTATCGAGAATAATATAGAGCGTTATAGACCGCCATTTCAGGGGAAAGGTAAATGGGAATTTCTCAAGACCATCGATTCCCTACTCATTCTAGAGAGACAGCACTTCGCCTTCTTGTTCGCGTAAAGAATGCAACTTTGGCTCTAGAGCCGGTGATCAATTATCCTGACCACAGACGCATGCACGGGTCCTATGTCACAGCATTCCGTCCACAGAACAGCGCGCTTCAGTGGCATATGAGCACATATTCCTGACACAGCCCTCTTTGCCTCTTTGCCTTCGATACTGGCCGCGGGACGGGCGACGGCAGAAGCACTAGGGACACGATGTGCTGCAGACCTTCTGCTTGCGCGGTATCAGTGTTTGCTGACCGCGACGGCAGCTGTATCCCATGTTCATGATAAGCGTTATCTTGTTATCACACCAGTCACTAAAGCTCAGGTTAGCTTGCTCCCAATTCACCAGACACATGTCACCATTCATCATATTTCGCCCCCCCAAAAAAAAACATTCACATATACATTGGCAGACAAAATAACTTCGAAAGCCAATTTTCAGAAATAAAGATTTCATACATGGTAAATAAGTCACGAAATTTATCAAAATAGAATCCACTGGCGATGAAAAGCAAAAGTAACTTCAACATAAATCATACCTCTTAAATAATGCTGATTAATGAGGCGTGAAAAAGCAGTCCTTCCCGACCAAGCTCCTCCTGACCAGCAAAGCCTAATTACATTACTAGAGAAATGCTGATGACGCAATACTGCTTACCTGTAGAGTCCCTGTGTTCCCTCCTGAAAATTTACCACCGCTCGCCTCGGCACCACACCAGGTTCTGCCAGTCTGGCGGTGGCTGTCAG